TCTCACTCAAACATGGAGGAAGAGTAGACAAAATGCAGGAACACAGTAACTGAAATTAGTGGGCTGACTGAGGAAGATGAAGAGAGGAAAGCCCTTTGCCAAAAGTCTCCTAAGGAATCTTGGTTATTTAAGATACTTCTATAAACAAGGACTCTGTGGACTAATGTTTTTGAGAAATGCTATCTACAAGTACACCCCTCTTGAAGGGTCAGCTGCTTTGAGATGCTAAGGTTAACTTTGTAATCTTTAATTCAGAATCCCCACACGTATTTATCCATGAAAAAATTTCTATATGCAATACTTTGCTAATATTCTCCATTTGAGAAATGGCCAGATAATAATAGACTTAAGAAGTATATTTGGTTGCATGAACAAAAGACAGGAAAATTAGGGCATGTTATGGTTTTAAGCATTGCTCCAAGATGAAAAGGATCCCTGGTTGAGCAGGTAAAGGACCCAAAAACCTGAGAGAATTATTGATAAAGGAGACACAGATGTACAGGAATCTCAGGCAAGAACTCTTGACCAGAATCTACAGCCTGTTCCCTATTCTGTTCTTTCAACAAATTCTTTATGCTAATGAGCCTGGCATTATCACCCTTCATCATCCCCCTGCTTAATCACCCTTGATTGTCTCTGCTATGCGTTCATAACCTCAGGTTAAATAATGCAGACAGCCTGTTCATCTTCTCTGATGACAATGTATCCCTAATTGAGCCATTTCTGCCTCTCTGGTCACCCTCCTATTCTCCAAAGTGTATGCTCTCTACATTAATTTGCTAGTTAAATATTGATAGCAAGCTTCTCCTTTAATATTTACTTTGTTGCTCTATTATTGCTACATACAGGGTGATTGTTTGTTTCTGCCTTCCCAGCCTATTTAACCAGGACTGAGTCAACCTTTCCCGTGCTTAACCTTCTTGTCCAATCAGAACTGGGCAATGTTTAGGAGAGCATTCTGACATCAGCTCTGAAATAAATCTCTGCCCTTGGTGTGTGTGCCATCATAGCCAGCAGGGGTCAGAAGGGCATTTCTCTATGGGGTCAAGTGGTTGGTAGTGAGAAAGGAGGCACTGTCTCTCTTTGAACATTATCTCCTCACAGTAGCCTAAGAGAGAAAAGGGCCACCCAGACAGCTGTGGTGACTTTTATGGAATGTTGGTCATGGTGCTCTTAAGAGCACAGAAATTTGCAGTAAGAGTGGCTGTCCCAACAAGAACTATGGACAGGTGGCAAATGCCCTTACAAAAAAAAAATGTAAAAAAGAAAAAGAAACCTAGATGCAACCCCTGGTCTTAAGGAGAAACTATTGGAGGTGTTGGGGAAGCTACACCTTTCCGTTTACCTCTGCTGTCTCAGAGTTGGGAGAGAATTAAGTGATCCATAAATAGGAAGCATCTTTGAAAATATACCATGTTCTGCAGCTAAAGAAAGAGGCATTACAGCACAGAAATGTGAATATCTTTCTTGAAGGCAAGCAAATCCTTCTGTCTTAATCAGAATGATGTCCGTAGCTGTCTTCAACTCCTGTTTCCCGAACTGGAAGCTTTGACTCTCCCAGTAGAAAGACCACTTGTTGCCCTGTGTGTGTGTGTATTTGAAGAAGTGGATGATGATATCATTTTAGACACATTTGTGTTACTATCAAAAGAAAAGAATTAAACAGATAAGCTTTGGGTGGTTTCCAAGTCTTGGGTCCAGTTTGTTTATCAGTAACTTGGGAAAGCTCTCTCTGCCTCTCCATCCCCAGCAGAATGGAGGCAAGCAAGAAGTGAATCTTCCAGAAGGACACTATCTCATTTTTGACAACAGAGTGCCTTGAAGTTTAGAGATTTTAGGTAACATAAGAATCACATTGAAGTACATGGTTTAAAGTTTCCCCAATACTTGCTGATAAGGCAAATAGTCCTTTAAATTGACACAGCGATTAGGAGGACATGATGCTAACTTTTCCAGATATGTCCACATGATTCCTCCCACCTCGTGAGTTCTGGGAAATTTAAGGCTTCTGTGGCAATAGTGACATTGCAGTCATAGCAACTCGAATCTGAAGACTTACCCCCTGAGCAGTATGCTTGTTGTGTGCCTGACCCGTTCAATGGTTTCTGATCACTTGACATTCCTCTAAAACTCCAGATTCTGTCACATTGCCATGCTTTTTGCAAATGACTGGAATACTTTCTCCTCTGCTGCTTCCTCCTGCTCAGTTTATCACCTTGGAACTTCCTGCTTCTTGGAGCTACAATTCAAATTTCCCTCTCAGGATAAGCCTTTCGAGTTCCCACAAGGCAGAGGGAGCCACCCTCTTGGTCCCCATGGCGCCTTGCACAGACTCTGTTTATCACAGCATCACATGAACTTTAAAACTATTTGTTTACTTCTGCATTGGACAGATAGTAAAACAAAGTTCATTTCAGCTGGTTCAATAGGAGGAATTCACTGCAATAAATTATGACACAGGCGTTGAGAGAGTCCATCAACCAGAGGGAGGACAAAGAGGCAATGCAGATTTCAGTTGGACTACGAAGTGCCAGCTGTCTTCTAGGGCTGTAAAAACACAGTTTAAAAGCTGTTATCAGAGCCCAGAAACCAAGGCCGCCTGGCCAGATCTGGCCATGGAAGTGGGAAGCCCTGGGACACCATCGAAAGCAAAGGAAAACTGGGATGCCTGTCCCAGTATTTCCCTAACCTGCATCCTCCAGTCTCCGGCCAGAACTCCCACCGCTTCCATGTGGCCTGAAGCCCATTGCCAAGGGGGCCTGGGAAATGCAACTTTTCAGGGAAAGACTCAGATTATGTCTGAGAGCAAAGAAGCAGGCGACTGGCTGGAACACTCATCTCCCTGAGTACACGGTGAGCTTCCTCCTTGTCTCCCCAGCACAAAAAAGATAGATACTACATAGATCTGTGGAGGGAGTAAAGTACTGTCTTAAAGTGAGATCTGTTTCCTTTGTATTCTTGTCAAAGAGGCTATGCCTTTTTAGAAAAATAATATCAAACTTCTCAGCTTATCTTAAGCCATTTTCTTTTTCTTTATCAAATTGAAAAGTACTCTTTTTTTTTCCTCCGACTATTGTATTTCCATCTTTGTCTTCTGGCTTTTCAGTTTCCACATTCTCAGAGTTCCAAGAAGATGCTAAGAAACCTCTGGTAATCTTGTTTGAAATTTGCAGAGTTCAGTCATCTGTTCCCTAGGGCCCTGCTCTGTAGGCCAGTCAGGCTAAGAAAGGAACTTCTTTGCTATCAGACACTTTTTAAGGCTTTTCATTATCAATTCACCAGTACAGCACATAATGAGGTCTTGTAGTAGCAGATAGGGAATGCATTTCTCAGCCAAGTGGCAGAACTTGTAGCTGCCAGATCATGGGCCATTATCTACAATGACTTCATGGGTATTCCACAAAGAGAATTTTCTTTGTAGAAGGAAAAAAGGCAGGTCTTGCTGAAGGCTTTTTAGCCCAGGCCAAACCAAGATGAGCTGGTGTTGATATCTAAAGGGGATGGTTCTCTTTTTCAGGATGAAATCATTTGGCATCTGCCCTAGCCATAAAGCCAACCTTCCGCGAAACAACTTTCAGTGAGTATGTGAATGGATATTTACTGGTCTCTCAAACTCTGTGGCTTCTTTGCTATTTGCTAATTTTTCTGTGCAAGCTCTCTGTGAATCAGTTTCTAGTTCAGTCATAACATTTCTCAGAACTTGCTTATAAATCAGCCATGTGCATAGTTCCTCACACAAATTCAGGGAAAGAAAAGAGCATAAGCTACTCCATGGAGAAACAAATTCTGGAAAAGTCGATGAGAAAAAATAATGGCGATGTTTGACAGAGGTGGGTGTGAGGTGGCCGTGGTGTGCTGGAGCCCACACATATACGTCTCCCCAAAATGAATTGCTTACCTGTCTCTTCTAGCACCATATTCAACAAAATCATATTGGTAGCTTGGAATTGACCAGAGCTGGCATGTTTATACCACAAAAATTGGCAAAAACTACAAAGGAGGGCTTTCTCCTTTTCCTTCCTTTCCAGAGGTTTAGTTGTAAGACATTTACTATTACCTCACCACAGGGACAGGTGATGCAAGAGAATCTCATTTTTCCCAAACTGTGCTCTTTGATAAAGCCCATCAAATAAAGATGACCAGGAACAAACCAGTTTCCAAATGAATTTAGGTTTATTAATTTACTGTACCAAGGGGGATCAAACATGGCAGGAACTGTAGGCATCTCAGTAAGAGGAAGAGGGAGAGGCTTCTAGAATGAATTTTGAGATAGACCAGGGAAGGGGCAACAGCTCTACGAGGGAAGCTGGGAGGCTGCTGCCCAGCAGAGGCAGCTTAGAAGCTGGGTGTGCGGCAGACATTATTCAGGAGATGGAAGAATGAAGTGGAGCTGAGGGAGCCATTGGGAAAGAAGTTGTCTTAGGTGAGAGAGCAGTAATCACCCAGAAGGGGAGTCTTTGCCCATCATTTCACAGCTGTGTTATTGATTGCCTGGAGAGACACCCTGTTCATGTCCCATCAGAGACATTTTTGGGTGCTATTAGGAACATTGCAGTCTGATTACCAACAGTTTTAAAACATGAACTGGGGGTCCTGTTCCTCTGGAGACTGCCAAGTTAAGATAACTGCAGAATGTTGTGTCCAAACCCCTTATCTCCTGCTTCCCTGTGACAAAGTGGCCCACAGGCTGGGGGACTCTGGGCAAGAGTGGCTCCTTTCCCACTGAAGTGAATAAACAGCAAAGCTTCCAGGATGTGAAAAAACATGGTTTCTCCACACAGTTTCACTAGTATCCATGCACAAAAGCAGTTTTTCCAGGTTCACACCTTCACCCTGCTTGCTTGCTTCAGACTCACTGGTCTGAATTCATGGCAAAATTCACAGGGAATGTGGTTGCATTTTTATCCAAACAAAGTACAGGCACAGTGAAATTTGTCAAGACTTTTATATCTTAAACACCTTTAGTCTCCAAAACTGCTCACAGTGACTGACACAAAGGAAGTGCCTAATAAATGCTTGTAGAATTAAATCTTATAGGATGGGGGCTATTGGGCACGTCTCTGGCCACACTGTGTGGACAGTTCTATGCTCCCACACATTTACTAAGGCTGTTTGTTACCAACCTTGTCAAGTTCCTTTTTCTATAGAAAGTGCCACTCCAACATCACCCGGTTAGGAAGGAAAATGTGGTCTCTGCAGCTGTGCCCTTGAGGTGTGGCCCTTACTACAAGTAAACATAAAGCATCATCTTTTTCTATAGTTCATATCCATAAGGCCACCAGATTTTTTCAGCAGGTGTCTTAATGTCTCCACAAACCACCTGCATCAGGACTGCCTGGTGAGATGCTTGTTTACATAATGCAGATTCCCATCTCCACCCCCATTGACAGAATTGGGAAACCCTTCCCTGGAAACAAAGGTCTGCACTTTTCACAAACTCCCCTGCATGATGTTTGTGCACATGAGGGTTTGAGAACAGCTAATCCAGACACTGATTTTTTTTCCTTTTCAGTAAGACCTGCCCATCTAATAAATCAACAGGAATGTATTGATTCACTTACAGATACAGAGGTAACTATAATGAAAAAGACATGCAGGGAGCTTACAGTCTTCCAGTAAATTCATCTGTCAAGACAATTTGCCCTGATCTGGGAAAAATTTTGTTTTCCTCTTCTTAGACTGAAAAGAAAAAATAGCATGATGCTTCCTGACCTTCTACCAGAATTGCTAATGATTACAAGCAAAGCTGTGTGTAGTAATTACTTTTCAGAGGACAGGATTGTTTGGGAGTGGGAAGAGGGATATACATCACTGTACCACATTATATTTTGTTGCCCCTCCGCCTGGGTCCACTCTCCATGTCCAAGTCTTAGCTGATAGCCCAGTGCTCCTAGGCCATTGTCTCATTCCCCCCATCCCACCCCGCTAGCACCACCAGCTACCTCAGCCTGTTCCAAGTTCTGTTGTACTGCCTTGGTGGGATCTGGGGTAGGAGCCTGACATCTTCTGTACTTTGGCACCACCGAGCTAGACCCCCAGAGCGTCTGCTTCAACCATCACTTCCAGACACTAGAGATGCTCCAGGACTAAGGGGATATCACTTACTCAAATGCTAGTAGGGGCAAGTGGTGTCCCATACAGGGCAAACTTCACCAACAAGGGACAAGCCAGGCAAGAGCCATCAAAGAAATATCTTGCCAACCCACCCCAAACACATACACCCAAGGACAGTTCCAGGCATAATGGTTTCCCAGAGTCTGTCAGGAGATGTCTGTCCCTATCCTTTTTTCACTGTTACTGCCCTAGAAGGGTGCTTCTAGGTACTAGCACATAACCTTTGCTGCAGGCTCTGCTTTCAGAGGAACCAGCCTGAGAGTATCTCTATTAGCATTTTTTGTTTTTAGGTACAAGTATATTCCTTATTTTAGTCTTTATTTTTGTTATTTCTTTTTTCTCCAGATTCTCTTTTTTTATGGACATATAGTTGACATATAGTATTATATTAGTTTCAGGTATACCATATGGTGTTTTGACATCTATAGCCCTTTGTAAAATCAATTTTTCCAATTTTTCTACTAAAATATTTTAAATATCTTACTTTGGCACTATGGATAACTGTGAGTCCCTGTCTCCCTTGAAATCAGGGATGGTACCTTGCTCACATTTGTTTCTCCAGCCCAAGAATCTTGCTTCAATATAGTAAGGAAGTCAATAAGCATGTATTTAATTGAATACAGCGGAGTCTCTGCCCTCAAAAGGTTTGTGATCAGAATTGAATTGTCAGGCTCCTGGTGCCATCCTTGAAGTGGGTGTGGTTCCATCCTTGAAGTAGGTGTGGTTCCTGGAACAATTGGGAACCTGAATAGTGAGCTGAGTTACCCTATGAGCTCATGCAACATCAGGAGTAAAAGTGGGTGGGAACATGGTAAGAATGACAGAGATGATATAACTTTCATATCCCCAAAATGAATTGCTGAGGGAGCTGTAATTTTCCTGGGCACTGACAGCCACCCATGCCCCACTGGGCCTCTCTGAGATACTTCTGTACCATGAGTAGTCAAACTGAGATCACTGGGAGGCTCACCCCACACAAGGGTATTCTGATTTTAAATCACTCACAACCTTGTCTTTAGGAAGGTTTTTATTTCCTAAGTGTTTATAAATTAATAATACTCTCTTTGGTTAATTTATATTTGTATCAAACATATATTTCCATCATACATAGTTTTTAAAACTTCAAATCATCCTAAAAAGTGGTCTTATGCCCCTCCAGTCCCAGTGACCTAGGTAGGCATGGTCCCCAGGGTTAATTAAAATCAGCTCTTTTGGCTGTTCCCTCAAGTATTTATAGTCACATTTCTAAATTACATGTTGCTATTTCTATTCCTTGACTTGTCAGTTTCAGACATGAACTATTAACATCCCATCATGGTATGTAAGAATGTTCTTCTCACTCCCCATATCCCTGCCTTCTCTCACCCTCCCAACACAGGTTTATCACAATATTTAGTTAGATCAATAGTCAATTGCATATAATCATACAATCACTGTTCACTCCTGAGTCCATGAGCACATGGTTCAATATTCCTTTCCTATACAATTCTTTTCCTGGGGCTAATAATTCCTCTGCTAAATTCTTTGTTGGTTTTCTTTATATGTATCCCAGTTTCTCTCCAGATACTCCAATAACTCTGTCCTATGTCTAGAAATTTTCCTGTCATACACTTACAAATATTTCTCTATCCACACCTCTCCAACCTGTTTGACATGACCTGGGGTACCTCTGAAGTTACCTAACTGTCACTGTCATCCCTGGGTTCCTCTAATTTTGGGTCCTCTGTTTCCTAGATTATTTACTATCCAATACACTTAAGTGTAGAATAAAGGTATTTGCTGATATAGAGGGACTCAAATTTTCCATTTCCTTAGGAAGCTATTGGAGGATGTGCTCCTGCTAAATGAGAGGGTAAAACTAAGAAATGGTAGCCACAGGACATAGGACACAGACTCAAAAACAAGTAAGTAATACAGGGAAGCCAAGTCAATTCACAGAATTCTTCCTCTGCTATGACAAGACACCTTTAATGCTGTCCTAAGGAGCAGTTGACCACAATGCACACACACATTAAATCACTATGACATACACATACAGCATCTTACAATTTTATATGTCAGTTATACCCTGGTAAAACTGAAATTTTAAAAAACCCAACAAACCAAAAACACTTTTAAGCATTTCATAGCAAAGACTGTTTCTTAGTCTGACCAGTTAGAGCAGGGACTTATAAAATAAGTAATATACAAGAATTGAATGTAGACTGCAACAAAATTACCAGCATATTCTTGTTGATTGGCTGAGCACAAAATTGAAGGTTCAAAATCATATTCCCTGGACATATTGAAGGCACTGGTCCATTGTGTTCTGGCTCACAGTATTGCAGTTGAAAAGTCTGATGCTGTTTGAATTCCCAGTCCTTGGTATGTGACCTGTTCTGTGGAATATTTGAGGGTCATTTTATTATATAGAGTCCCATGACACAGTGCCTCTGGGAGGCCCTCTCCTCAGTCTTCAGTGTGTGGTTATGAGCACATTCAGTCTAAACACTCATGTGCTTTAGTTCTGGGACGTTTTCTTGTATTAATCCTTTGATAATTCTGTGTACTCCATTTGCCTTATTTTCTGTTTCTGGAACCCCTGAAAGTCAAATGTTCAACTTCCTGTTCAATCTGTAATTTCCTTCCACCCGTTTATCTATCTTTTTTTTTTTCTGGGGTAGTTTCTTATATCTCCTCTTCTAATCTTTCAAATAAAATGTTGGAAGACAAGGTAGTCTAGTTTTAAGTTCCATGGTCTCCTTGTTCTCTGATTACTTCCCACTTTATCTTTTTGTTAAATCATGGTGAAACACAAATAACAAACATTTTTCATCTTGCCATTTTTAATGTGCAATTCCGTTGCATAAGTATATTCACAATGTTGTACAATCACCACCCCTTGGAAAAAGTCCATTTCCAGAACTTTTTCATGATGCCATACTGAAACTCTGTATCCATTAAACAAGTCCCTATTCAAATGCCTCCCCTGTCTGGAACAGCCCCTGGCAATCACCAGTCAACCTTCTGCCTCTGTGAATTTGACTACTCTAGGGACCTCATTTAAGTGGAATCATACAATATTTATCCTTTTGTGCATGGATTATTTTTTTTATAATAAACCTTCTAAAAGGTGTGAAACATTATCTCATTGTGGTTTTGATTTGCATTTCCCTCATTAGTGATATTAGATAACTTTTTCATGTGCTCATTGTCCATTTGTATATCTTCTTTGGAGAAATGCCTACTGAAATACTTTGCCCATTTTTTAAACTGAGTTGTTTGATTTTTTTGTTGTTGAATTTTAAAGAGTTCTTTATATATTCTAGATACTACCTAATCAGATATATGATTTGCATGATCTTTTCAAAGTTCGTCCATGTTGTAGCATATCACAATTTCCTTCCTTTTAAGGTTGAATAGTATCCATTGCACATATACACCACATCTTGTTTATCTTTTCATCTGTCAATGTATATTTGGGTTGTTTCCACCCTTTGGCTATTTTGAATGCACTGCTACAAACACTGGTGTGCAAACATGCTTTCAGTTTTGGGGAGTATGTACCCAAAGTGGAGTTGATGGATCATATGATAATCCTGCTTAATTTGGGGCAGGTTGGGGGAAAATGTGATAATATTTCCCACAGTGGCTGTACCATTTTACAATCCTAAATGCACAAAAGTTCCATTTTTTCCACATCCTTAACATGTTCTTTTCTTTTTTCATAATAACCACCCTAAAGGTGTGAAATGTTCTCTCATCTCACTGTGGTTTTGATTTGCATTTCCTAATTAGTGATGTTAGATAACTTTTCATGAGTTCATTGGTTATGTGTTTATCTTCTTTGGAGAAATGCCTGCCTAAGTGCTTTGCCCATTTTTAAACTGCGTTGTTTGTTTTTTTTGCTGTTGTTGTGTTTTAACAGTTCTTTATATATTTGGATACTAATCCTGAAAAGATATATGATTTCCAAATACTTTTTCCCATTCTGTGGATTCTCTGCTGTCAAGATACACAAAACTTTTGATAAAGTATAATTTATTTTTTCCCTTTTGTTGCCTCTGCATTTGGTATATATCTTTGTCTTGCCAATGGGTTTCAGCCCCAGGCAAGCTCACTATGGATTCAGTGTGACCAAAGAAATCGACAGCAAAACGCTCTTGGGGTGAAAAGGTTATATCCAACTTTATTTCCAGGTGTCAGGTCAGTCACTAAAATCCCATTCATTCAGAGCGAGTATGCATGCAGCAAACCAGTCTCTGCCTCTGGGCCCCTCTGTCTGCATGGCCGTCCTCTGGGCCCCTCTGTCGTCCCATAAAGCCGTCCTCTGGGCCTCTCTGCACAGTCGTCCCGCAAAGCCATCCTCTGGGCCTCTGCCCTCAGCGCTGCCACCACTCCAGCCTCTGCTCTGCTCTCCTGCAGCCTTGCAGCCCTGCCACTGTGTCGTGCCCAGAGTACTGGGCAGAGCTCTTTTTATAGAGTCAACAGCCATGTATTGCCCTCAGGTGTGGAGTGAGCTAGTCAACCAGGGCCAGGTGAGAATCCTGGCCACAGGAACTCTCGTTTTATCCACACTCCACCCCTCCAGGATTCTCTCCTCTCAATCTAAGTGCCCTTAGTCATCTGCAATGGTCCCTGTGCAAGGAAGCTCGAACATTGTTCTCCAGCCTCTACAGCAAAAAGTCTTGCAGACACACAGGCTGGACTCATGGCTCTGTCTCTGACCTCTGCCTCTTTGGTCTTAATGACTGGAACTGCTGCTCTGGTTTCAGTTGTTGCCATAGCTCCAGTAAGATCCTATTTGGCTTCCCATCTAATTTCCTTCCATCTACTTCTTCCCATATCAAATCAACCCACATCTGGGTCCTCGTAACCCTCACAAGGCCCCTCCAATTCCTCCTGTAACAGGGCTTATTTCTTTCTGGGTTCTCATTGCTTCAGCTACAGTATGTGTCACCTCACATTTTGTACTCTCTGCCTCAAGGCATCCTGCACTGTCAGGGAAGACAGCTTTCCTATCACTGATCCTGACAGAACGATTCCATCCACCCCTAAGTCCCACAGCCACCAGCCCAGCCTGAGTATAGGGGCAGAGCACAGAGTGCTCCATGACCTGGGGAGGGGGCTGCTCCTCCTTGGGGAACTTTCAGCTGCTGGGTCTTTATTTTCTTTACAAACACTGGGTGTGCTTTCAACACAGGAGGCACCAGTGCCTCCAGCACCACCCCTTCATCCTTCCCCAGCTCCTCTGTTTCTGAGACTGATGGCACCTTTCTCTCCCCTCCCCCGAGTGCCTCCTCTGCTACAATCTTTACCTTTACTACTGTGCCTCGCAGCAATGCTACCTCTGTCTCTTGCCTTCAGCTCAATGCTTCGCAGCTGATATTCTCATGCCACCTCCGCCTGTGCTTCCCTCAGGAGTTCATCCTTTTCCTTGATGACCTCTTCCTCCTTCAGAGCACCTGGTAGCACTGCGGTCTTGTCTCCAATGGCTCCTTGCTGCCGGAGTTCTCGTGCTGCCACCCCCCTCATCAAGGCCATCTCTTTCCTCAGGGAATCCACAGAGGTTTTCAGCTCAGAGGGCTGCAAACTGCTCATGCCACCATTTCTTGGGTCTCCTCTGTAGACCTTTTTAGTACAGTGAGAAGCAGCCAACCCACAGTCCCGCTGCCTCCCGGGCACTCTGCTTCTCAAAGGATCTGCTTACTATACTAAGGGCCACCCCTACTGCCTCAGGTGTCACCTCCACCTGCCTCCAGTCCTGGGGTGGAGACCAGTCCTCTAGGAGGCAAGCCACCTCAGACCACATACCCACTGGGGGATGATCCACTGTCTTCCCATTCATAGGGGCAACCCGCTGAAGCACCCCTCCCATAAGGGCAGATAGTTTTTTCCTTGGTTAACAATGAATCCTGCCAACTATGCCAACTGTCTTGCCAATGGGTTTCAGCCCCAGGCAAGTTCACTATGGATTCAGTGTGACCAAAGAAATCGACAGCAAAACACTCTTGGGGTGAAAGAGTTATACCCAACTTTATTTCCAGGTGGCAGGTCAGTCACTAAAATCCCATTCACTCAGTGAGTCTGCATGCAGCAAGTCAGTCTCTGCCTCTGGGCCCCTCTGTCCTCACAGTCATCTTCTGAGCCCCTCTGTCCGCACAGTCATCCCACACAGCCGTCCTCCGGGCTTCTTTGCACAGTCATCCCGCAAAGCCATCCTCTGGGCCTCTGTCCTCAGTACTGCCACCACTCCAGCCTCTGCTCTGCTCTGCTCTGCTCTCCTGCAGCCTTGCAGCCCTGCCACTGTGTTGTGCCCAGAATACTGGGTGGGTCTCTTTTTATAGATTCAACAGCCATGTATTGCCCACAGGTGTGTAGTGAGCTAATCAACCATGGCCAGGTGAGAATCCTGGCCACAGGAACTCTCATTTTATCCACAATCTTATTTCCTTTTTAATAGTAGTGTAATATAGCTTAATAGATGCAATAACATCTCTTCTCTTGCAAGTATATTAAATATCTGATTTTTACATTTTATTCTGTTTCCCTTCATTATCTCTGTTTTCTTCAGTGTCCCTATTCCTGGTTTTTTGTTTTCTTTATTTATTTTGGTTTTGGTTTTCTCTTTCATGATAGAGGCTTTTCTTAAATTTTTGCCAAGCTTTAAGCAGTTATTCAGCTTTAAAGGTGCGGTAATAAAAGCCTGATTTGGTCTCACTGGGCAAGAGTGATGACGGACAGAAAAAAATAGTGGGCTTTACTGTAAGATGATAAAATGAAAATCCAGCCTTTTTAAGGGAAGAATCACCAAATGTAAATACATGCAGGCATTTATCAGGCCCTTAGGTTCCTCCAGAGAAGAATCTTCTGTCATCTGTCCTCCTGCTTTGGGAACATTAACCTGCAGAAGGAATGTCAGGGAGAGGATATTTGAGCCCTTCAGTCATTATAAATACATTTACTTAACCTCTTCGTTTTCAGGTGTGTCCTCTATTCCCAACCCTCTATATCTTTGTCTGATGTCCCAGAATTCAGAGCTGCTCAGCTTCAAAGAAGGAACTTCTAGATCTTAGTGGGAGAGGGCATGAGAAAGAGGAATGCACCCAGGGACCAAACCTTTCTTCATGTGGACCTTCCGCTGGCTTCCCTCTGACAGCAGCTGTCTTAGCTCACGCTGCTGAAACAGAATACCATAAGCTGGATGGCTGGTAAACAACAGAAACTTATTTCTCACATACCTGGAGACTAGAAATCCAATGTCAGGGTGCTCAGATGGTTGGATTGGGAGGGCCCTCTTCCAGGTTGTAGACTGCTGACTTTTCACTGGTAGCCTCATATAAAGCAGAGAGAAATAAGCTTTCTGATGATATTATAAGGGCACTAATCCCATTCATGAGGGTACCACTTCATCTAACCTCATGACCTCATCTAACCCTTGTAACTACCTCCACAAAGAACCTGCATCCTAACACCACCCACTAGGGGACCAAGGTTTCAGAGTAGGAATTTGGGGGGAACACAAACATTCAATCCATCTCATCTAACCAACTGTTTCGAAGCAATATCTTGTGTATCCCAATTCTGAGCCTCCCTGGATTCTGAGGGCAAATCAGCTCCACTCCTTAATGTATCTCTTTCAAGAAATCTAGGTTTGGCTTCCCTCCACTCTCCTAAGTCATTATCACCTCCATGGGCTTTGCATTTCCTAGAAATTTGTTGCAATCCTTAGCCCACTGTTGTCTTCTACTGCCTTTGAGAGTTGCTATCATTTGTGTTCCTTTGCCGGCACATTGGTAGAGAAAAAAATATATATGAGGTCAATTTACCTTGTCTTACCAGAAGCCTCTCCCATCTCTTGAGTATTGCTGTGTGCCCTTTTCTTTGTGACTGCATTTATAGTTCAGCATTTCTCGAAGGCCATTTCGAGGAACAGTGGTTACACAGGCTGTTAATAAAGATAATAAAGAAAGGATCTCATGGCCAAGTAAGCATGGAGATGGTAGCCAATAGACATTGCCCAGCAATGCCAGTGTCTATCAAAACATGTAGAAGCACTCATTAAGAAATGCCTCCAGGGTCAGGTTAATAGCCACAATAGAAAACTATTCCCATTGCATTATGGCATGCCTTTTTTGTGATTACAAGCGCACACACACACACACACACACACACACACATATTATACTCAGATTGCATTTCTATCTTATTCTCTGGATTTGGTTCTAAATTATTTAAGAGTTAAGATATTCAAAAGAATATGCTACAGTCTCTGAAGAGAAATTCCAAGCATGTTTTGTGTAATGACATAGTCAGCTTAAATCTAGAAGCCCCTGAGTTAAGTCCTTTGAAAGGCCAATTGAGTGCCCTGCTTATGAATATTGTTTAAGTCTTTTGATTTTATGACTGTATCTTATATATTCAAATGAGGCACATCTTATACGTTCACTTCCAACTTGGTGAAAGAAAAAAACAAGGATTAAGCTCCTTCAGTGAGCAGTGCAGTCTTCTCCTTTGACAGGCATCAAAACCAGCAAGGACTTGGTCTCTGTTTTCTTTATTCTCTCTGTTAAGCTCTTCCTATGAAGTTGTCCCACATTTGATGTGTTCTTTGTTAAATATCACTCATTCTCTGCCAATTCAGAAACACATGCCTTGTTTCTGTTACAGTTGACAGGGAGGAGAAAAGAGGGCCTCGGTTTTTTTCCTCTAGGAGTGAGTGGGGAAAAACATTTCCAAAGGCACCCAATGATTTCTCCATTCCGAATTTTGACATTTCTTTCATGGTTTGTCTCTTTTCTGAGGAAAGGTGCTTCTTGTATGGCAAATGCTACTTGTTACAAATGCAGTCAGCATCCCTGAAACACTCAAAGGGTAACTTCATGATCCACTGAAGTGTCTGGCTGACACACAGTGTAGCTCAGCTGCCAAAACCCTAAATGAATGCCGATTACAATCAAATGCAAATTAGTTGCAGCAGCACTTACATAATTTCCTCAGCTGCCTCCATGTTTCAGGGACAAATGTTCCAGACTCTTCTCATTAATTGCCCCCAGATAAGTGTGCGGTGAGGATATTCCTATCATTTCGTCTTTCATTATTGATTTATACATCTGACATGGGAAGCCTGTAGTTTACCAGTTAGGCAGTTTAATTGGGTTAATTGATGCAGCCACCATTACGCTTTGGAAGGCACTAGAATCTATTACCCACCCACCTTGGCTTTATGCAGTGCAGCCTACTCACACTGAACTGCAGCTGAAACCGTGCGGGAACCTGTCCTGCTCTCAGGTTAATTCATTGTTTCTCCAAGACCCAGCACAGTGCTTGGCACATAGCAGGTGCGTATTAAATTTGTGAGATAAATGGATGAACGAATATTCTAGAGTAAGACTCACTGCAACGCTTTACCTCCAAGGAACTTACAGAAGCTCTGTGAATGAAGAGGCAGAGGATGTACAGAATAGCTGGTGAGGCAGAACCTGGGACCAGGTGTCCCACCTTGCCATGTGTCTGCAGCTCCCCTGGGCCTGTCTTCCCTGGTTGGGGTCTCCGGGAATTTGTTAGAGATGGAGAGTGTCAGAATGCTGTCTGGTTGCACCTTCCTGTGAAGCAGGACCCCAAGCCTTCATAGCACGATGCTACCTCCTCTACTGGCACCCATGCAACATCTCTGCAGGTGTCTCCACAGACCAGAGAGAAGGCCAGTGAGCCCACTCATGAAATGAACAGGCTTCTTACTGCACGTGGCAGGGACTGCTGCTAGCCATGACCAAAATGTGAGCTTTGCTGCCGTCATGTCACTTTGAGTGGCTACCTGGCTATATCTTCTAAGCCTGTCTTGCATCCAGATAGCCCCATTCAACTAGTTTTCACCAGGGAACTGCACTGGATTGTGCCATCTGAAGTGGGCCACACCCACAGGCCCCATATCACACCGTCTTACACTGTGATGTTGCACTCTGGTATTGAGCAGTGGGGTCTATGTTCTCTCCCTTCTGTCTTGAAGGGTTCCTGAGGCTTATCAGGCCAAGTCACGAAAGGTGACACAGCTTCTACATGGTCCTCTTTGGGACAGTCACCCTGTGAGGCAGCCCGGCAGCCACTTGGGAGGCCCAAGTGTTCTGGCTACAGCCACCGTGGATGTACCAGCAGACATCAGCCCTCGATAGAGGGAGGCGAGCTGGCCGAGGACACCAGCCGTCCCAGGAGACACCAAATGGAGCACAGACAAGCCGTCCCCATCAATCCCTGTCCAAGTTGCAAGTCCTTGGGCAGAACATTGTCATTGTTAGAAGCCACTAAGTTTGGGGTGATTTGTTAGGCAGCAGTAAAGAACTGGAATGGGAAGGTGAGTGGAAATGATGCATCATTCCACATGAGAATATGTCACTTCCAATATGAGACAAGAACTAGGGATGCCTGCTCCGTACCCGCTCCTTCCCTAAGGCCTTCAAGGCAGCTGGACCACAGATGTGAGGAGCCAAGTATCCTAAATGCTCCATGTGGCAAGTTTTCTGTGACTCAAGAATACCTGCACCACAGGGTTCAGGCAATAGAAATGAATTTTTGTGTTGTGACATTAAAATTAAAGAGTTTATACTTCTACAGTATCTGGAGGCATCCTGATGCATTTCTTCTAACTGGTCCTACCTCTGCCCTTGCCAGTATTGTCCTCTCATTTAGTTTCCTAGGTTCCAAGTAATTCTAACCATTGCCACTTAGATTTCTGTTCAGTTATCTCTACACTGATAGACAAGCCTGGGTATTATCAGGACAATACTTAGAGACATCAAACATCTGGGTGATGTTAAGGCAGAGGGCAAAGGAAGGGTGGAAGTTCACTCTTAATATCTCTCCTCCTCAAAGGTAGCATTCACCCAGGACACTTAAGAGCAGGACCCACCACGCTCCACAGAGGCAAACCGGCACTGCTCAGCAGAATGGATCCCCAGGCTTCATCCCAAGCCAGCCTTGTCTGGGGAAGCTGGAACCGTCACACACAGACATTGAGGAGGAGACCATGTTGGCATCCTGACCATATTATATAACCAGTTTGGAGGGAGCAGATAGATCCTTGGCGCCTGTGGGCTTCAGCACCAGCTAGAAGGCTGAGAACGTTCAGGGCTCAAGGCAACATCTGCGCACCAGTGTCTGGTGCCCCCCACAGGGCTTGGGGATCTCAGGCTAGTGCTTATCTCTTGAACTCTCCACTGACAAGAATCCCTGTTTCCCTGGTTCGGAAGGGCCATGGGCCACCACATCCTCCCAAATAATAATAATGCAATGTGCTATCACATCATTCCTGACACTTGAGGGCACAAAAGCACTCATTTTTAAATATTAACTTGAGTTGGTGGTACAGAAGGTGGCTAGTGAGCTTCAGTGGGTCTCCCAGAATTTCTGGACTCTGAGAGACCCCCAAAGCTCCTGCCCTCTGCCTGGTATTAAAATGCAATTCCTTACCTGAAATACATTTGGAAAAAAATTGGAGAAATTCTTCCAGAGAGCTCAGATTGTGCCCCTGACACCCTGGATGGGGATCTTGGTGTGAGCTGTGGGGTTCTTCCAGGAAGTGGCTTTTCGAATGTTCAGCATAAAATACATTCTTGGGAACACATGAGTGCCCCGACCTGCCTGCCTCAGCTTGGCCTCCGCACCAAGGGGCCGGCGCAACCCACCCGCAGCTTCCTTCCTGATTGTATCACTCGCCTCTATTACTGAAGCTGCCTAAAGCCTTCTCCACTTAACTTTTTAAAAAACTTTTTCAAAACTTAATGGCAGGTGCCCAGGGAGCAATTGGAATCCAATCCAAGATGAAAAAGTTTTACCAGTAAATGGGAAAATACAATAAAAATAGATGCTTACTTTCTGAATTCCGATAGGAACTCACTTCATCAGTGTTCCATCTCCCCTGGACTTACACAGTGCCTGGCATTTTGGGGTGCAGTCATTTTGGGTCTCTGGGGTTTGCTCTGTGTTCCCAGTCTTGGAACAGTATGAAAGATCATGTGCCATTTCCCCAAATGGCCCCAGTGTGGGAGAATATTTTTTTTATGCTTCAATAGAGACCCCAGAGTAGAATTCAGCCTTTTACAGTTCATTCCTAAATTGAACAAACCCTTCTTCTATGGGGACCTCAAGAATGTTTGAGAATCCCTCATCTCTCCATGGTTCCAAGCCTGGCCTAATCCCTTATCTTTTCACAAGCTGTTTGGCTCATGCTGTTTTGATTTCACCGGAACGGCTGAGCCCTCTGAGAGCCCCAGCTCTGGCCTCCTCTTTTCAATGGGTCCCTTTGGGCCTCTGGGCTTAATGTCTTCAATGGAGATCTTGTGGGATAATGTTTCCAAATTTGTTTTCCAGAACCTCAGCCCCTGGGAGCTGACTTGCCTGGGTTTTATCCGCCTCCGCCTGGCGGCCCCCTCCTCTTTACCTCGTCCCCCCTCCCTCTTTTCTTCCATCAGCAGCCCCCCACACCCTGTTGGCTCCATCACTCAGCGCTGACCTTGGGGAAGCGATAAACGCCTTTGGTGGCTGGGCTCAGCTGGAGACTCAGAGGTGCCAAAAGCGAGTTTAAGTTTTTAGCCTTCTCCATCTTTCACTAATTCTTAGCAGGTTTGGGAGGTTTAAAGCCTTTGTCAGTCCATGAAACCTCTTTTCACCCACTCCTGTCCGTGAGGCTCCTCACTGAAGGCCCCGCCCCCAGTTGACCAGACTCCGTTTCCTCCCAGTGATGGAGCCGTCCCCAAGCTGCTTTTGGGCTGCCCAGCCGCTCAGCAAACCCCCAGGGATGGGCACAGCCATCATCCCACTGCCCATGTTCCAGCCGGCTGGAAAACTATGTGGGGGAGAAGGGAGTCTTGAAGCACCCTCCCCCACCCGTGCTGCCCCTCCCCTCCCACAGACCCAGGTTCTGTGACCACCCCCCGGATCTGCCTGAAGCAAATGGGTCGAGAGCCTTGACGAATCCAGATTCTCTAGCAAATCAGATGAAAAGCAAAGTGCATCAGGGATGAAGCCTGTTATGCTTCAGACCCAGTGCTGCTCAGGTCCTGGCACCCAGCTGTGTGATTAGTTTGTGCCTTCGAACTCAGTCAGGTTTCAAACCCGACCCTCCATAACCTGATGAGCACACTTCACATACACAAGATGCTAGAGTCTTGGAGTCACAAAGTAAATGGAGGACAGAACATTCTAACAGCGAATTTCCAAGATGCAGACCTCACACTAGAGTATATAACTTGCTCAAAGCCACCTTAGAGCCATTTGTGGGTTCCATTTAAGAGCACTTATGAAACAGGGGCTGCAACCAGGGGACACAAACGCACATAGACAGTCCCTGTCCTCAGGGTAGCCCTGGTCTAATCAGGAAGATGAGCTTGGGGATCTGGGCTTTTCCCACACTCAGCTCCAGCCCACGCCTCACTACGTCTCTGGAGCTGGGCCTCAGGATGTGCATTTTTTAGGTATCAAGATCATTTGGATGTTCATTCAGGGTTGGAGAGTTCTGAAATTGCACACAGAATATGACAGAAGGACAGAGGAAGACCAGCCTGCCCATCCAAGGGAAGGAGTAGAGTATGGAGAGCAGAGGAGTTCAGTAATGAAGTCATTCATTCATTCATTCATTCATTCATTCATTCATTCATTCATGGAACAATTCATTTATTGAGAGCTGATTATGTGCCAGTCAGTCTTCTGAGTGCTGCAACTATCAGGGTGCACAAAAAAGATTTTTTAAAGAATCCCAGATCTTATGGAGATGATGGGCCTTGATCTCCTTGAATAGGATCCAGCCTGGGAGAGAAGTGGGGGAGAAGCAACAAGTATCTATTTTCAATGTGAAATTGAAGAAACCGAGGCTTTGCTACTTACACAGCGGTGGATCCAAGATGCAAATGCTGGCCTCCTGACCCCACTATTGTGCTTCTATGTAAGGCAATCAGTTAAGACAGGGTCGAGTCCTGGCAACCACCTGATTGGTGCCAGCACCAAATGTGTGGTTGTAAGTTTAGTCTTTTGCTTATGTTTCCCTTGCTAACAGAACTTTCTGGGGTGACAACGGTTACACGTGCATAACATGAGTCTTTTGCTCAGCACTTTTAACTTCAGCTTCCAGGCTTATTGGGTTAGAGATATTCATCTACACAAATAATATAACTCCCTTAAGGAATTCAAGACATTTTAAAAACCACAATCAAATTTGTAAAATAAAGCAAAGCAAAGCATAACAAAAAAACAACAAAGAAGTCATGTAACCATTTTTTGTTATGCAAAACTGGAATTAAGAATGAGAATTGGACAAATATTCAAAGAAAGAGCATAGAGTTTATCAGCGTATTATTTTCAGAGAAAACTATAAAAGCAAACATGCGTATTCAGGAGATTTTATATGTATATCCCAGACCAAGACTGAAATTCTTAAATTAACAAAAAGATTACCATCTTTAGTTAGCTAGAGGAGTAAAGCATGGAATCAATTGTTACTTTCCAGCAATTTCTTTCTTTCAATTCTATACTGATTACAGGAAAGAGTATCTTTGTAAAGGAAATTCAACAACAGCTTGGTTTTCAGAGGGAAACTAAGATATACAATACCTCCCCAAGGTTACTTCCGTTCAAGGAGAAGGAAAACAGACCCCAAAATGCTTGAAGTGGTAACAGTGGTTAATTTTTATTTCACAGCTGATAACGATTTGTCCTTTCATAGGTCCAAGATACAAAAACAGGGCTGCATGTGACTTCCTTTGCAGAAGATGGGCAGATCCATGGACTTTCCTTCTCTGACAGCTGCTCATGCCACCCTGCCCGAAGGTCACTCAGCTCTCATGAGCTTTACCCCATACATGTCATTTACTGTGGTCACACCTGGACCTTGTCATGCTCTACAAGGCATTCTGCAGCCCTCATCTTAACCCTCAGTTCTGCTTCCTCTTCCTTCTGAATTCCTTCTCTGCACCTGCAGCAGATCTCCCAGTCTCGAGACTGCTTTTCCTCCCAAATGATTACCCTTCCCTCCTCCTGGCACACTACAGCCATTCCTCATCCATGACCTAAATCTCTCTTCTTGCACGGCCATTCTCCATCTTTAAAATGCCCTTTCCCTCTCCCCCACTTCTCCCCCAAGTTTGACCCTATTCAAGAAATCAAGGCCCACCATTTCCATGAGAAAGCGGATTTTTTTAATCTGTTTTGCGCCCTGCCATAGTCCCAGCAACCGAGAAGAGTGGCTGGCACATCATCAGTTCTCAATAAATATCAAATGAATGAATGAATGACATCATTACTTGACTCTCCTTTCTCCACACTGTTCTCTCCTTCCCTCTGGATGGGTGAGCTGCTCCTTCTTCTACCATCATGTCTTGTGCACTTTCAGGACTTACAAGCCCTGAGTGAAGTGTGGTGCATAGCAAATGTGCACCAAGGCAGCTGTGTGAATATTGTGGTCCTAAGGTCTGTGGCTCTTCTCTTTCTCCCCCGTGGCCTGGGAACCACCTCAAGGTCAATCAACCTCAAAGCTCCCTTCACCACTTTTCCCAGACAGTGGGACCTCAAATTATCTGGGAGCCAACATCCTGACTGAGTGACCTAGAGATCCTGAGGCAATACTGTTAGCATGACAGGGGACCCAAATAATCCTGGAAAAGTGAGGTCGAGTCCCTGTGATCAGTAGAGTTTTCCAGAGGAAAATAATGTATTTTGGAGGAAAAGCACTGGGCTGGTATCTTGGGCTTGCAGCATGAGACAGTCTGTGGCTCTTCCCAACTTTATGGCTCAGGGTGACTTACTTAGCTTCTCTCAATGGGTCATTATCTGCCAAAGAAGAGATACCAGGAGTAGCCATCTCCAGAGTTTTAGTTAGAATTACATATAAATGTAAGGCTCAATGTAAACATGGACCAAAAAAAAAAGGATAAATCAGAGCATAGGTGAGTATTCTTTAGGGGTTCCTAGTTAAACTAGATGCTCCTTTCCACCCCTGACTCCTCCTCAGCCCCAGCCTCCACGTAATTCCTTGATTATTTCTCTGCATCTTCCAACAGAAAGGGTGCACAAGTACTATGTGTCCTCGTTTAAAATTCTAATAAATTACCTAATGGAAGGTAGAGGAGGTTAGTCTGTTTGGGGTGAGTTTTATGAGTGAGTTGCAGATTGCCAAGTCAGTCATGCCTACCCTCCAGCTCCCAGAGAGGCTGCACTGGGGCACACAGCTGCCTCCTGTCATGTTGCATCCAAGTCAGCTCTTCATTTCACATTAGCAGGTTTCTCTTCAAAACACGCCCATTTTGCTGCTGCACGACCCCCTCTTGTGCAGGGGAGTTTGTCACACACCACTCATCAACATGGTTCTGCATTCGTAATTGCATCATTTCTGTGGCTTGACACATCTATGTAAATAGCATTGATTAGTTTCTGTCACTCTTTATAGTATCAGTTGTGTTTGCCAAGGGAAGCTAAACTTGAGCTTGGACTAAACCAATGAGCAGGACTAAACCAAGACCCCCACTCTCCCACCTGTCTCTTCTGCTTTCACATCAGTGCCAGAATTTGCAGCTCAATCGCCACAGTGGCTATGCCAAGTTCCAAGTCAGGACTTTCAAAACCCTTGCCTTGGTGACCGTCACCAAGCCCTTGAGAACACTGACGGGGCTGGGCTGAGCCAAGCCATCTGAGCTGTGGGCCACTTTTCATATAATGTGCTCCTCTGATGGCTTCATTGCTTATATCCCTGTTGAATCTTGGCCTCTAAGTTTAGCCTCACCCAGTACAGCAAAGTCACATGGCTTTTTTAACAAGTTACTCCGGTTATGAAATATTCTTTAAACTCTGAAACACACTGAATATGTAAAAGCCCCCAAGTTTAGTTCAATGCCAGTAGGTTTTGTTGGCAACGGATGAGCCCTGGGGTCTGTCTAAGCTGGCAGAGAAGCTGAAAGTGAAAGAGCTACTTTGCCACCTCCAGGCCCTTTGAGACTGCTGAGCATCAGAACTGCTGCTTGAAGCAGAATGACTGTCAATGTCCTGTTTATTGATGGCCGTTGGCTGGAAAATATTACTGGGTGCTGAACTGGTACAACTGTACCTTGAAGTGGCTAAGCTTGCACAAGGAGGATGAGTCACAGGTGTTGTCAGATCTCAGGCATGGGCCCCAGACTGAGGTTTTATTACCTTGTTGAAGGTTCAGGTCTTGTCCAAGTGAGAATCCAGGGCTGCCTATACTCACTTCCTCCATCGGGAAGATGGTGACAAAGTGGAGCACAGCACATGGGAGGTGACAATTTTATCCCCTGGGAAAAGTGAGCTTTTTTTTTTATGTCATGTTTATCATTTCCAGTAAATCTTTGGCAATTCTGTGGGTACTCTTGTTCTTTGCTCATGGCCAGAACTGAGTCTATCTGATAGTTGGAGGATTAGTTCCTTTCCTTGCATGGTCACTAGATTCCTAGTCTGAGACCTCAGAGGATTTACTTTCACTGACTAACATGTCATCTTTCTCTTCCCTTTGCATTTTATTTCCAAGGATGGTAGTGGTGTGGTGTTTTTATTTAATTCGCTAAAAGGCTCTGTGGCTACCTCTGTCACCCATAAATTAATGCCCATTGTAACACGCCACATGTAGAAATATATGCTATTAAGATTAGCATGTTGAGAACCAGAGCTCAATCTTCACCATTTGTCACTTCTGTCCAAGGAAAGCAGTGAATGAGTAGACCAAGAATAAGGACCTGGGCACCATATAACATCACATAAGCAAAGCCAAGTGGGCTGTGGCAAAGGAAACACATCGTCACCAGCCAAGATGAGCTGCTGCTGGACCAAAGGTTCCCCTGGCTCCACTAAAGGGAAGTGTAGGTAAGTGCTGTGGGGATCAGGAGGGACACCCAGCCCTGCCTGGTGGAGCAAATGATAAGTGATCCTTCAGTTGGGTCCCAAAGTTCAGTAGGAATTGGCTGCACGAAGGGTGTGAGCTTATCATTCAAAGGAAATAGTGAGCATGACAACCGGGAGGAGAAAGGAGCTGTGAGCGGCTCAGTGCAGCTGCAGAGGTGGAGGGAGGCAAGCTAGGGTCCAGAGAGGAGGCAGGGCAGGATCACGAAGGGCTTGTGTGAAGTGCAGGTAGGGTTCCAACAGGAGGGAGAGCAACATGATCAGAAGTGCAGCTTATTAGCGCACTGTGGTGGAGGAGCCAGAGGAGGCCAGAGTGCACATAGAACAGGCCCAGAAAAGAACACACATAACTTGGATTCTAGGCAGTGGTGGCAACAAGGCACAGAGACAGAACAGAGGGACAGTGAGATGGTCAGTGAGGTGTGGGCATTAGTAAGGGGCAGGGGGTGCACCTGGTCCTTGAGGCTTCTGGCTTGAATACCTGAAGAACATCAGAGCCATTCACTGAGACTAGGCACTCAGGAAGAGGAGCCGGCTGGCAGAGGGAGTGGCCACAAGTTCCATCCTAGCCATGGTAAACCGGGAGCACCCAGGCTCCTTGATTTCTGGTCGTATGCAACATGCACAAGCATGTTGCCTAGTTAGATGTGTTTAGGTAGTTGTAACCCCCTCTGTGCTCCATGTGACCCCTAAACCCCATCCCTGGGTGGGCCCTGCAGGAAGAACTGTAGATTAAGGGTTGTGCAGGACTAGGAAAAGTGGTCAGCTATTAATATTCTCTGAGTCATGTCAACACCAAGGAAACAGCATTTTGAGATTGAAAAGGCAACAATCTTTCTAATCCTAATATAAAAGACTATGACCACTTTTGTCACATGAAGCAAAATGGATAGCCCCAGTATAAATCTTGCAAGAGCTGACCGGGAGTAATCAACTTTGCTACATTAGCAAAAGTATCAAGATTCAGATAGCTGACCAATAAATACTTAGTCATGCTGACTATGTGATAAGGCATCTAAGAGATGCAAAGATGTGGATGATGGCCCCATCCTCAAAGAATTTGTCATTTTAAAGGGCATTCATGAATACGAACAGCTGTAATTCAAAGTATATGTTTCACAGGTACTGTTAGGCAACTGTCAGCAAAAACCCAGGATGGGAGAGATTAGTTCTGACTGAAGTGGAAGGAAATCATGTGGGCTGCACAGGCCTAAAGCCACATGGGCTAAGGATGCTTTGTGAAGCAGACCAGACCTTTGAACACAAGTAGGATTTCATTCTTCCACCATTAAATAAAAAGGTCACAATCAAGACTCAGGTGCACACTTGGTCAAACCATAGGAACCTACCATGTATATAGGTAAAAAAATGGATGGATTTTAACAATCTCATGAAATTCAATATAATAATCCTATCTGATCTGATGCCTCAATTCAAAGACCCCTAGCATGTGCTCTAGACCCCAAACTTGCTGAAGAGGCCTGGCTGGTGATTATTACCAGAATCTTCACATTGACTTTCAAGGAGCAACATTCCAAGGAGCCCACTCTTTCCAACTGGAACAAATTCACATGGTTGGAAGCCTGTGTATAGTTTGGAAAATTCACCCATGTCATCTACCTCATTTCCCAGATTCCCAGTCTTGTGGACATTACAGGACAATCAACATGACTATGTCATGTCCCTGATAACAAATGCTTCAGACAGCTGTTACATCTGAGATTATCACTAAAACTAAGGCTTGTAAGGCTCAGAAGCTTCTGGAAAACCCACATGAACTTCCTGCTCCTTCTTTCATGGACAAGATTAATCACAAGAGCAGCACTATCTTCTCAACCCTGTTTTGCTGAATCTTGCCTGGTGTTGAGAAGTTCTTTGAACCCAGAACCGCACCCTCAAGAGAGTCTTCTCCAAGACTGGCCTGAGTCAATCTTTTGAAGCACACATGCTTTTTAGAGCTGACTGATAACCGACTCTGTCAACTAATGAAAAAGTAAGGATTCCCTGAAGCTGAGGCCACGAACATAGAGCATATGTTTTTAACTGTATTAGAGAACCATTTCAACATCCATGTAGGGATGAGAAGAAACAGTATTTTGATGAATAATTGGAATGGTTATATTTTGGTCCTGTCCGGGATTGTGGATTCAACCACAGTGTGACATGAAGTTACTGTGCATAATGTATTTAATTATGCAATACACCAGGGACAGTCCCATTCTAGAATTAGAAAGAAAACTGCTTTGGAAACCCAAAGATCTCACAAACGTTTCCAGACATAACTTCATGGGCTCCTGCAGCCCTTTCATAGCTCCTGTTTGAGGCATAGGCATTGCTGGGCCAAGGCCAGCATCCTGCCTTGAGAGAGATGTG